AGTAAGCAGCAATCTGATTTTTAGAGATGTAAAGGCCAAAATCTTGGAGTTTAATGCCACTTGTCTCTCATACATGTCAGCAGCATATCTGATGACTTCTCACCTCTTCTACACCTCCTGTTCTGGTCTGGTGCTTGGGGTTATGGAATAGCCTCTGCATTGATTTTTAGGCTTCTTTTCTTAGCCCCATATTAAGCAGGGTTGTCCAGAGAAACAGAAACAATATGATAGACAGATAAGTGCACAGGAGATTTATTTTAAGGAGCTGGCTTATGTGATTATGGAGGCTGAGAAGTCCCATGATCTGCCATCTCCAAGATGGAGACCCAGGTAAGTCAGTGATGTAGTTCCATTTTACAGACCTGAAAATCAGTCTAAAAACCTGAGAACCAGAAAAACCAGTAGTGGAAGTTCCAGTTGGAGAACCAGGCATGCTGATGGCGTAAGTTCCAGTCCAAGGATAGAAGAAACCTAACGTCCTACCTCAAGAAGTCAGGCAGAGAGAAAGAGAATTCTCCCTTCTACCACTTTTGATTCTATTCAAACCCTTGACAGATTAAATGATGCTCACTCACACTGGGGAGGACAATCTACTTTACCAGCTCCACAGATTCAAACGCTAATCTCCTCTGGAAACACTCACAGACACACGCAGAAATAATGTTCAGCCAAATGTTTGGGCACCTTGTGCTCTAGACAAGTTGACACATAAAATTAACCATCATACCCCCTAACGTCCAGCACCTAGAATTGGACCTGACCCAGAGAAACCACTCAGCAAATGCTCGTGAAATGAATGAGATAGGGCTTGCAAGTGTGGCTGGTCTTATTAAGGACACATTCTGATCTCTTGGGATTAGATAACTTGTCAGGATAACTTGAGTCATGCACAAGGGGTTGTGCTTTCAGGCTAGGGCCACGGTCCCTGAATTATGGTTCATGCACCAAGGGATGCCAGACACCCTTTTCCACTGTGTTGACCTTTGACCTGATAGTTCACATAGAGTGGTGGGTAAAACTGCTGATAACATGACACAAATGAGAGCACTGGCATCACACTGAACTATGAGGCATTGTGCCCAATGCCTAATTCACCATGTGCTCATATAAAAATCTTACTGGTTTCAGTTAAGAATGTTCTTGATGGCTGAGTGTGGTGGCTCATGCCTGTAATCCCAGCACTTTGGGAGCCTGAGGTGGGCAGATCACCTGAGGTCGGGAATTTGAGACCAGCTTTGCCAACATGGAGAAACCCCATCTCTACTAAAAATACAACATTAGCCGGGTATGGTGGCACATGCCTGTAATCCCAGCTACTTGGGTGGTTGAGGCAGGAGAATCGCTTGAACCCAGGAGGTGGAGGTCGTAGTGAGCTGAGATTGTACCATTGCACTCCAGCCTAGGCAAAAACAGCAAAAAAATGTTCTCAATGTAAAAAATAACTATATTAAATCTGAACCCTTTAATCAATAACTTTAATATGTGGTGCTATGAAATGGTTAGTATGCATAAAACACATTTGCTGTATTCTGAAGTATAATGGCTCTTTCAAAGAAAAGCTCTTGTGAGACTGAACTGCAAGCTGAACTAGTCACTTTCTTTAGGGAAAACCATTTTTTGTTTTGAATGACTATCTTTTCAGACTGCTGTAACAAGATACCATAAACTGGGCAGCTTATAAACAATGGAAATCTATTTCTTATGGTTCTGGAGGCAGGTGTGTGCAGATCAAGGGGCTGCAGATTGAGTGTCTGGGGAGGGCCCATTTGCTAGTTCATAGAACGATGCCTTCTTGCTGCATCCTTACATGGTGAAAGGGTACAAGGCAGCTCTCTGGGGCCTCTTTTATGAGGGCACAATTCCATTCATGAGGGCTTTTCTCTAATGATCTAATCACCTCCTGAAGGCCCCATCTGCGAATATTATCACATTGGTGATTGGGTGTCAACATATGAATTTTGGAGGGATACAAACGTTCAGACCATAGCACTGACAAAGAAATTATGATTTTTAGATTTGAATATTTGGCAGACTTTTCTAGGAAATGAATAAAGTGAAGCTGTCATTTTAAGACAAATAGCTGCCAGCATTTGTTGCCAATTATAAAATTTGAATTTTCAAGTGACAACTAGAATTTTGGAAAACTTGTGTTCACCACAGTAAGTTTGATAGCTTTCCAATACTTGATGACTTTTTTGATAAGATCAGTAGTATATTATTTACATACATATTGTGTGTGTGTACATATATATATGTGTATGCATATACAACATTCTGTATCAACATTTGGAAGATCTGTATAATTCAGCAAACCAATATTTGCCAAATGATCGTGCTTTTATAATACTGTACGTGGAAAAAGATTCATTCCAATTATACAATGGATCAATGGATTTTAACATGAGAGAGCATGAAAAGTTTGTTAATTTGGTTTCAGATTCTATACTGCAACTCAGATTTAGGACACTACCACTTGTCAAGCTCTGGTGTGGTATCAAAAAAGAATATCCACAATGATCTAAAAAAGCCATTAAAACATCTGTCCCTTTCCAACTACCTGCTTGAGTGAAGATGGATTTTATGTACTTAAACTAAAGCAACATAATGCAACATATTGAATGTAGCAAGCAGACAGGAGAATCCAGCTGCCTTTCCTTAAGTATGACATAAAGCAGAAGTGCAAAAATATCAAGCAATGACACTTTTCTCACTGATTTGTTTCGGAAAACATAGATATTTCTTTAAATGGTTTTAATAAGGTATAATTAAAATATAGTAAACAACATATACTTAACATATACAATTTAATCAATTTTGACATGGGAATACATCTATGAAATCATCACCTCAATCAAGAATATGAACAGAGCTACCACCCCCAAAAGTGTCCTTGTGCCCCCTTTACATCCCTACCTTTCTCCCCTTCCTGACTCCCTGATTTCTAGGAAATTACTGATCTTCTGTCAGCCTATTTTAGTTTTCATTTTCTAGGACTTTATATAAATGGAATCACAGTCTATGTATGCTTTTTGTGTGGCTTCTCTCGCAGCATAATTATTTTGAGATTTACCCATGGTTTTGCCTGTGTCAAAAGCTCTTTTATTGCTGGGTACTCTTCCATTGTGTGGCCATAGTATAATTTATTTCACCATTCACCTGATAATGGACACTTGGGTTGTTTTCTGGTTTTGGCTGTTATCAGCAAAGTGGCTGTGAACGTTGGTGTAGAAATCTTTGTACAGGTATATTCTTTCCCTTTTCTTTGTAAATACCTAGGAGAGAAATGCCCGGGCCATATGCTAGGCATATGTTTAACATTTTAAGAAACTGTAAGCAGTCTTCCAAAGTAGTACCATTTTACACTCCCACCAGCAATGTATGAAGGTTCAATTTCCTGCACGTCGTCACAATCACTTGGCCATTCCAAGAGGTGTATATTGACATCTTTTTTTTTTTTCTTCATTTCATCCAGTCTGTTTATGAAGCACACACATAAAACAGTACACCTCCAAGCCTCCTTGGTGCACATTGATCTTGCTCTTCTCTGAACCTCTCCCTTGAGGTTGTATTGACATCTTATTAACATCTAATTGAATTACTAATGTTCCATAAAAGAGCCACATATGAAAAGTGGCCCCCAAATGCAGGAGCCAAAGAATGTCGCAGACAAATCTAGTTTGTTGGTAAAAGGTGATTTATCAGGGAGCTTGCAGGCAGAAGCCTGGTCTTAGGTGGCTGCAAGACAGGTAGATCTCCACACCACAACCCTCCAGACCCAGCACTTCTATACTGGGGAGAAAGTCTATGAGCTCTGGAAATAATGCTGAACTGAAAGAATGCTGTGGGCCTCACAGCCTATGATCCATGCAACAATATCAAGAGTTGTTCTGGAGGAAAGGTGAACTCCAGTAACTAGGTGTTTCTGGGTAAGGAGTAATATGTCAACTAGACATCTTGGAGGCATTCCTGGACTTGGGGCTAGTCAGGAGTCACATGGTGGATTAGCACCTAAAATGGAGTGACACTTGTCTCCATGACTAATAATGTTGAGCATATTTTCATGTGTTTCTTTGCCCTCTGTATATGTTTCGTTGAAGTGTTTGTTCAAATATTTTGTCCATTTTAAGTTGAGATTAAAAAAATTGATACATAATATTTTACATATTTATGGAGTACATTTATATTTTGTTACATGCATGGAATGTGTAATGATCAAGTCACGTATTTGAGGTGTTCATCACTTTAAGTATTTATCATTTATAGGTGTTGGGAATTCAAGTTCTTTCTTCTGGCTACTTTGAAATATACAATACACTGTTGTTAACTGTAGATACTCTACTCTGCTGTTGAACAACAGAACTTATACCTTTTATCTAACTATATATTTGTACGTCTTATCTTACCTCTTTTCATTCCCCTTCCCATGCACCCAACCTTCCCAGCATCTGGTGTCTATCACTCTGCTCTTCTATCTTTAGGAGATCAAGTTTTTAGCTTCCACATATGAGTGAGAACATGTGATATTTGTCTGTTGGTGTGTGGGTTATTTCACTGAACATAATGACCTGCAGTTCCATCCATATTGCTGATAATAACATAATTTCATTCTTTTTTATGGCCAAATAGCATTGCATTGTATACAAACTTACATATCACTTTCTTCATTTATTCATCAGTTGATGGACATTTAGGATGATTCCATATCTTTGCTATTGTGAATAGTGCTGTGATAAACATGCGAGTGCAGGTATCCCTTTCACACACTGTTTTCTTTTCCTTTGGGTAGATACCAAATAGTGAGATTGCTGAAACAAGTGGTAGTTTTATTTTTAGTTTTTTGAGAAATCTCCATACTGTTTTACATTGTACTAATTTACATTCCCACCAACATTGTATGAGTTTCCTTTTCTCCAAATCCTCATCAGCCTCTGTTATATAATTTTTAGAACAATAGTTATTCTAACTGGAGTAATATGATATCTCATTGTGGTTGTTTTCTAGAAAATATAGAGTGCTCCATGAATTTGCATGTCATCCTTGTGCAGGGGCCATGCTAATCTCTGTGTCATTCTAATTTTAGTATATGCACTGCTGAAGCAAGCACTCATTGTGGTTTTGATTTGTGTTTCCCTGATGACTAGTGATGCTGAACATTTTTTAAATATGCTGTGTGCCATTTGTATGTCTTCTTTTGAGAGTTGTCTATTCATGTCTTTTGTCCACTTTTTAATGCAATTTCTTTTGTTGTTAAATTGTTTGGGTTCCTTGTATATTCTGGATATTAGTCCCTTGTTGAATGAATAGTTTGCAAATATTTTCTCCCATTCAACAGACTGTCTCTTCCCTCTGTTGATTGTTTCCTTTGCTGTGCAGAAGCTTTTTAGTTTAATATTTTCTTTGTAATAGTCTGTTTTCACGCTGCTGATAAAAACATACCCAAAACTAGAAAATTTACGAAAGAAAGAGGTTTAATATGGACTTACAGTTCCATGTGGCTGGGGAAGACTCACAATCATGGCAAAAGGCAAGGAGGAACAAGTAACATCTTATATAGATGGCAGCAGGCAAAGAAAAAGAAGCTTGTGCAGGGAAACTGTTCCTTTCTCCCTCCCTCCCTCCCTTCTTTCCCCCCTTTCTTCCTCCCTTTCTGTCTTTCTTCCTTTCTTTTTTCTTTTCTTTTCTTTCTTTTCTTTTCTTTTCTTTTCTTTTCTTTTCTTTTCTTTTCTTTTCTTTTCTTTTCTTTTCTTTCTTTCTTTCTTTCTTTCTTTCTTTCTTCTTTCTTTCTTTCTTTCTTTCTTTCTCTTTTTTTTCTCTCTCTCTCTCTTTCTTTCTCTTTTCTCTTTCATTGTTGCTTGTTGCAGTTGTTGTCACTAGTTTGTTAGTGATTTTTGTGAACAAATTTTGTAAAGTCTATTCTTTGTTATATCTAGCCACTGAAGTCTCCATTCTGTGAGTTTAGTTGTCAGGTAGTGATTTGACAGAAACTTCCTTAAATGCCTTAAATAACAACAACAACAAAAATCTCCTAGCATTTGCAGATGGGCTATGTATGTGTTTTGGAAGAGACCTTCCTCAGCCAGGCAGTTTATAGCTCTACATTTGCCTTCATTCACTTCTGGCTTGCACAGAATCTGTAGGTCAGTCATATATGAGAAGGTTATGTTCTCAGGCATTTTCTGATAATGCATCATTCTTGGGCATGAGTGTTGCCTTCAAAATTCCCAGAAATATATGCTACCTTTTCAAAGCCCTTATTTCCCAAGGCATCTTATTCCCTGGCTTTTCCTGCCAGGGTAGTTAGTGGTTTGCCCCAACTCTTATCCCTTGCCCCAGGTGGCAGCAGCTCATACATTTGCCTTGGAATATTTTCTACTAATGTCCTCTGAGTAGACTTAGCTCTGGGAGAATTTCAAGTTAAGTGAAATAAAGACAAGCCCCTTGAACCACTTGTTCAGGGAGACATAGACAAGTCAAAACAAACAACTACAATTCTTTAAGAATGAGGCTTGTTCTGCTTCCTTCATATTAAGAACCTGTCTTGGTAATGTGGGCTATTGTTTTCACCCCACATTGTCGGGGAGGCTGCAGAGCTAGAGAGTAGAAGATGGGGGCGGAAGTAAATTAAAGCACCATAAAGTTCCCTTTTGGAGAGGCAGGTTTTTTTATTTTTATTTTTTTTATTTTGATTAGGCATTCGTCTGGTACTGTAAATTTTGTATTAGTATTCAGAGTTCTGACAAAACTAATTCTGACAGTTTTGCCAATTTATGTGTGACTTTTATGAGGAACACACTTTTGGAGTTTCCTTCTCCACCCATTTGAAGTGGCATCATTTTCTGGTTTGTTGATATTTGTTCTGATCTTTATTATAGACTTACAATGGGATTACATTCTGATAAGCCATCATAAACTGAAAATACCATAAGTTGAAAATGCATTGAGTATACCCAACCTTCTGTACATCCAGGCTTAGCCTAGCCTGCTCTAAACATGCTCAGAACACTTATGAGCCTACAGCTGAGCAAAATCATCTAGCACACAGCCTATTTTATAATAAAGTGTTGAATAGCTCATGTACTTTATTGAAAATTCTACTGAAAGTGAAAAATAGAATGGTTGTATAAGTACTCCAAGTATGGTTTCTACTAAATGCATATCACTTTTGCACCATTGTAAAATCAAAAAGTTGTTAAATTGAACCATTGTGAATTAAGAACTACATTTTCTTTCTTTTGCTGCTTTGGTTTAGTTTGTAATTTTTTCCCCCTAAGGTGAAAGTTAAGGTTATTTAATTCTGTTTCTTCTTAATGCACAAGTTTCCTTCTAAAGAATGGTTTAGTGGTAACCTCAAAATTTTGATATGTGTATGTTCACTTTCATTTGGTTCAAAATGTTTTCTTATTTCCCCTTTGATTTCTTCTTTGACCCATGGATTATTTTGAAGTATGTTATTTAGTATCCAAAATCTTTAGGAATTTCTAGATACTTTTATTAATTTCTAATTTAACTTATCTTTGTGTTTGGGGAATGTATTTGTATGCCATAAGTCATTTAAAACTTAGATTTATGTTATGGGTAAAAAATATAATTCATCTTGGTAAACATTCCATGTATACCTGAAAAGTATAAGGATTTTACAATTGGCTGGAGTGTTCTGTATCAATTAGGGTGAGTGGATTACTAACGTTGTTCAAATCTTCTTTATCCTTTCTGATTATCTCTTACTTGTTCTACTAATTATTAAAATAGGAATGTTAAAATTTCCAATCATGATTGTAGATTTGTGTACTTTGCCTTTCCGTTCTGTTAGTTTTGGTTTCATATATTTTGGAAGTCTTTTATTAATACATAATTATTTAGGATTAATATTCATCTTTTTGATCAACTGACACCTTTATCATTATGAAATAAATTCTTTTTTTTTTTTGAGACGGAGTTTCACTCTTGTTACCCATGCTGGAGTGCAATGGCGCGATCTCGGCTCACCGCAACCTCTGCCTCCTAGGTTCAGGCAATTCTCCTGCCTCAGCCTCCTGAGTAGCTGGGATTACAGGCACGCGCCACCATGCCCAGCTAATTTTTTGTAGTTTTAGTAGAGACGGGGTTTCA